TATACTTCCGACATTCCTCCCCTTGGAGACGGTTGCGTGTTCTTCCTGTTCGCAGATAATACCGCAATAGCCGTCAAAGAAAGGATGTCTCGCGAAATAACGAACAAACTTCAACGATGCCTTAACGCCTTTGCTGATTATGCCACCACGTAGAAAATTAAAATCAATCCCTCCAAAACACAAGCGATCATGTTCCTACATCGGCAATCGCCCAAACTGAAACCGGCTCCATCTTGTACTGTAATCATGGTTGGCACAAGGGTTGAGTGGTCCGCCAAAGTAACCTATCTCGGGATGTTGATCGATGAAAAGCTCCTCTTCCGTGCGCATGTAGAGAAAGCAGTAGTCAAGTGTTCTGCCTTGGTTAGGTGTCTGTATCCGTTGATTTGCCGCAGATCCCGCCTAGCAAGGGTGAACAAACTGGCTGTCTACAAACAAATCATAGCACCTGCGATCCTCTACGCAGCTCCGGTGTGGGAATCATGTGCACAAACTCACAGGAACAAAATTCAGGTCGCTCAGAATAGAGTGCTGAGGATGGTTCTTAATCGTCCTTTCGACACTAGAATAACAAATTTACATGAAGAGGCAGACATTGCCAAAACAGATTCCAAAATTAACGAAATTAGCACCAAATTTAAACAAAAATGTATTTTATCAGAACATGATTTGATAAGCAATTTGTATATAGTAGATTAGGTGTATATAGTAGTTGTAGGTAATGTGTAGTTGTAAATAGTAGTTATAAGTAGTCTCCTTTTTCAAATTTAAAACAAACCAATCCCACCAGGGTGGTCATTCTTAAAACAGGCCTGATAGGACTACGAACTGTAATTAATAATAATTGAAATTTCAAAGTAACTAAAGTTGAAAAGACGCGTCTGTGTCACTTGATAAGTAATACATGTAAACCACACAAATTCAAGAAATATAGATCATTTAAAGTAAAAAAAAAGCCTCTGCTCATTACTGCTTCGGACGACGTGGCTATTGGTCCTGCAGCAAGCAGCGGATTAAGGTGGATCATGGCGTGACCACCTATCACAATGAGGAAATGAGGAACTTGGAAAAGTTATACATGCAAAACACCTCCTCCCCTTTAGGATAAAGTATAATAGTCAAAAATGCATGACATACATCAATTTTTCGTGGTTCTACGTCATACTGCGGTCGTGAATAGGACACAAACCTTTATTTTTTTTCGAGTACGGTGTGCATTGCTTTTGTGCACAGAGTGATTTGAAAAAGAAAAGTGGTATTTAGTTATTGTGTGGTTGGATTCGCTGGAGGAGGAATTGTTTAAAAATGACTAGAGAAAATTAAGCATCGGGCATGCGGGAATGATTTGGTGAGTACGTTCCAGTTGAAGATTGTTCTTATACATTTCTCGATTGCATTTTCGAGGGGACGTGTCTGCTTTTGTGGGTGGTCGGTTTGGTGTGGCTGGTGCAAACGACTATCTGTTCGTTCATCGTTTGCAAGTGTATCCCGCCGTTATCTAGTGTATCCACTCCTTCTTTCAATCTGTTGTAGAACTGTACTATTTTCGGCTTGCTTAAATTTTTCTTCAATTTGTCCTAAATTAAAAAAAAAATACAGTTGAATCATAATTTAGATGTTTAGTTTTATTATTGATATTTCGTTAACTATTGCAATTTGATATGATACCAATTACTGCTCAAAACAGTTGTTGTTTTTGATATTGTTGTGATAAGTAAGTTTCACAACAGCGATTTTGCAATATGCTGTGTTAGTATTTACTTTATTCAAGTAAATACTTATACAAAAAATTGCAAAATAGCTTTATTCAAGTAAATACTTAATCTAATCTAATCTAATCTAACACCAACACAGCCAGTTCTTGAAAGCATCCTGGAAAATGATGGGGATACCTCCATCATTTTTCTTGTCTATTTGATATATTTTTCATATCGAAGATGCGTCACACATATCAAAACGGCCAGGCCTACTGTGCAGCATTTAAGGAGCAAGATTATTCAGAAAACATCGGGCCTGTTTAAATCAAAGATGACGATGCTTCAGAATCCAATAAATGGATGAAACGTGGACATCTCGTACCGTACGTTCCGATTTTGGTAATTATATGATTGGTTGGTCGTTGGAAGCATCAAAGCTAGAAAGGTTAAGTGCCAGGTAGTTGTAGAAAACATACACACCACACACACACACACACACACACACACACACACACACACACACACACACACACACACAGCATGTAATTTGTGGGGAAATAAATCTGTAATTCAGTAGCTTTTTCCATTCAATCACACTATATCCGAGTCCTGATTAGCCCGGTAAATCACTCCAGCCGACCTTGAGGCTAAGAATTGCCCTCCAGATCGAGCTAACCATCAAAAGAGGTCGTTGAATGACCCACCCTCATTGTTAGGCCGTTGCTTAGCCAAGCCCGCCGAGGTGTTTGTCCTGGTAGCCCCTTAGGTACCCCACCCTAGCAGCAACATGATCATCATAAACACAAGTGTTAATAAGTAGGAACGAACTCACCAAATGAATCCATGAGCAATGTCAACAAAATGAAATTGCATGATGCTACTGGTACTTTCATGGTTCACCTTTCTTGCTTGAATCAGGATGATATCCACACCTGGTACTATTCAACAGAATTAACATGTTACCTCTCTTTGAATACATCCTGATTCCTGGTGATTCCTTTTCTTCAGGGAAAATTTCCTGTAGTCCTGTATCTGTTATCTTTTTGTAATTTTCACATTTTGATCACTAAAAGAGTCCCCAGGATCACCCCGTGTGGTTCGCTTCTCCGTGACGTCGTCGCAAACGAAAGAACGTCGGGGGTTCACTGGAGGAGTTTGTTTTCGGAGCTGCTGCCCTCTGAAGCTCTGAAAAAACTTCATGACACGGGTGTTGTTCAGAGTAACGGAAAGACAGCCCCATACTTGAATAACTTTGGAAATCACTATCAGATTGTGTTGTTTTTACTGTTTTAAAAATATGCCGAAATCGTTTCTCCGAAAAATCACAGCAAAGAAAAAGCACGTCAAACTTGTTCAAAGCTTTATTCAAGTAAATACTTCTACAAAAAATTGCAAAATAACTGGGCGAGAGAAAGGAAGGGGTCAAAATCTGAACATCCAGATAGTGTCAAAAAGCACAGTGAAGGATAAATTTATTCATACAAACAGGCCGCCATTACCGAGCATGGAAAGTTGGATTGAAGCACTGATGCTAATTCGACAGCTGCTCTTGGTGGCTTACGATTATGCTTGGTTAATGTCACCCATCAAAACGTTATTTAGATATAGTATTCTAGGTCCTGACGACGTAATGTGTGATTCACAAATTTTACGCGTCAATTCTTAATCAATTGAATTACATTTTAATTACTTTTGCGGACTGATAAGAGTGCTTTTGAGGACATTTTTTGTGTGTAATCTTGCCGCTTTCATGTTGCAAGCATGTGATGTCAATTGCTCAAAATCTGACCCAACTAGCATCAACACCAATTAAGTTCAGTGGTTATCGAGATATGTGGACCTTTCAATAAGACCATTACTGGCCAATATTTGTAAAATCATGAAGTTTGATATGTCGCATGATGGGTTTTGGTTCTTGTTGAGAATTGGCCACTTTCCCAGGGGCACCAGAACATTCCCGGGATGCCCAATGTGATCGTGGACCCTCGGTATAGCTGTCATTGGTCCAATTACATCATTTGAGAGAAAAAACATGATGTTCATCGTGTGTATACTTATTACAGAACAGTAAAGCCGAATGCCGACCAAAAGTGACCCCAACGTGAACCGGAATAACTCCAGAACCATGTATTGATCCAAATATTTTCAGATGGATTCAAAAATTTCAATAGATTCCCGACAAAATGCAATTTGTTGTGAAGAAAAAGATTGACAAATTATGATTTGCAAATTATGAGCAAATTGAATTTTGAAATCTATGCAAATTTAGACGTTAGGCACTCAAAGGTTAAGAACTATGTAGCTCAGTTGATTATAAGATAGTCAATAATCTCTGCATGTGAATTGTTACAAATTATATACTATATATATTGAATTATGTTATAGGCTACCGTCGCACTTGCAACTAAGTTCACTGGAAAGTGTATTCAGTTACTTGTTCGCTATACGGGAAAGTGGGGCAAGATGGCCACAGTAACTATGTTGAGCAGAATAATTATTCCCACAATTTTAGAGAATCTTATGCTTGAAGAACAATTATACAAAATTGTTAAACTTTAAAAAAGTTTCAAAAGAAATGGTAAGCCATATGGGACAACAACAATAATAGGCATAAATTCTCTTCTTGTAAAAAATTAGATAACTTTTGAATAATTTCAACTGGTATAGTTAAAGTTTTTTCAAAGTCCCCCAATAGTAGACAATCGTTAAATAAATTTCACGAGATTTTACTTGGAATCATGTTGTATTCTTATAATTTTTTAAGCTATTTTCATGAAATAGTCTAAACTGTATTTTATGTAACAATTTCATTATATTGATGTGTGTGTGGAAAGAGTTTTAGGCCTTATACTCCTTATAGTTTGATGGTGTTCGTCTTGCTCCATTCAAGATCAGTTTTTCAAAGCTTTACATTACTTTTTTTTTACATATAATGTAAGAAATCCTTAGTTACAATGTATATACCATTTATTATGCGCGCACTTACCTTTCCATGGTTATGATGTAAATCGAATGACTTTGTAGCTCACATACAAATTCTTCAGCTAACATTTGGTTGTCCAAACTAGTTTCAATCACATTCACATAATGCCGGTCGGCAAAATAGTGATCAATTATCTGAGTTCCAAGATAATAGTATCCATTCTCACTGTAATTTCTATCAATTACAGGAACTAGTTTCCCAAATACCTCAGCAAGGAACAGAATAATGAACAAAACCACCAACATCACGATTGAATATGACTGAATCGAAGTCAACAGGATTACTCTAGGTATACTCACACCGAAATTGAATAAACAGAATTGATTGATTATCATTTCACTCTCCATTTATTGACTCAAACACCGTGGGCAAATAATTACTCTCGAATATTGTCCAGTACCCATTGCACAAAGAACGAAACCCGGGTGCTAACACCCGGAGTTCCTGCCACCCCGCAGCCTGGTCCAGCTGAAATGATTCCATATTGAACGTATCGGAAGTTCAACTCTGGCACCTGCACCTTCATCGGTCCACCAGAATCACCTCGACAGTGAAGGGTGCCATTGCCAAATCCAGCACAGATCGAACGGGAACTTATGCTACACTCTATCGATGGAATACGCGTTTGGAGTAAAACGGGACTATTTTCCAACCGTTCCGTTAGTCCCCACCCTGTAATCCAGAACAAAGCCGGATCGAAGCTGTTTAGGGAATTGGAAAGTGGCAAACAAATTGGCATCACGTCGTTGATATCGAACTCAATGGAGCGATTCATACGAAGCAGACCGATGTCGTTTCCGTTTCGAACCACTCGCGTAAAATTTGGATGGGATACGTAGTCTTCGACACCGTATATCTTATACGGAGGTGCACAATCCATGAATTCATCACAATCCGGATTGGTCCGAGTGTCGTACTCTCCCAACCGCACGTACAACCTAAAAATGAAAAGTTTGGATGGTGAACATTTTCTAAATTGCAGTTAATTTTCATACAATCTTTCAATTTGACCGTCAATGCAATGAGCCGCCGTCAGGACATAGCGACTGTTGATAACAGTACCTCCACATTCAGGACCCTCTCGACCGGTCGATGAACGATATATCAACATTGCCATCCAAGGATACTGATACATTGGAGCCTGCTCGCCAAATGCAATCTTATCATCGAGACTGGTTCTGCCACATCTGTTGGAGTTGAGCAATCGCGCGTTGGGATGATTGGTCATATCGTTGGTCACACTTAGCGTTGTTGATGTAGCTGGAGAAGTTGAATCAGGTTGTGTCCTTAGCTGAAGAGCTACCTCGTCACAGCAAACATAGTAGGTGGATGTCTGAAATGAAACCATGGTGACTGAAAACGTGTAAATATTCAAATGATTTCAGGTCGTTACCATTGTAGACCCCGGTGAACAAACGCTGCTGCGAAGATAGTTGGCTTGAGTGGGAGTAATGGCTTGTTTTGCGGCAGATGCATCTAGAAGAATTTTTACTATTGGAGCACAATCGCTCAGAGCTACACATCGTCCAGCGGTACTGTTAGGGGTGGTGCAGACAGGAGCGTCCTCTCCAAGGCGAGATACGATTTTGAACGTTTTTTCTGGACCTGTAGTGGAGAGCGGAATTTATTTGTTGATGAGTTCTAATAAATTTCCAAACAAAAAAACCTTCAGATGATATGGGGGATGCGGGACATTTTGACGAAGGACGTTTCGTCGAAGGACGTTTCGCTGAAGGTCATTTCGCCAAATGGGTAATTTCGCCGATGGTCACTTCGCTGAATGCGTCATTTCGCCGAAAAGCCAGCCATTTTCTAGGGGTTTGAACTTTTCTCAAAACTTAGTAAATTTTGAAATTAGTCTCGATAAAAAGATTAAGAAGGTTCGATTTTTTCAAGCTATTCTAATATATTGCTTCCTCCCTTCCTTTAGGAATTTTTCTAATTAATAAATATGTTTGATTTATAGGAATGATTCCTTTTTTAAAATATGTCCAATTCTTTCAAGTTGTGGGCGAAATGAAAATAAAATATAGGAATGATCCATAATTTTTCATGTTTTGGAAATATTTTTTTAAAATTTCGATCGATAAACCTTCGAAAATTGCTCCATTTCTGCATAGCTTCTCAGATTTACTGTCCTGCCCGTGCGATTTTTTAGTCAGAGGAGCGGAGCAACGGGCAAGAGTCTAGAATAAGCTCCTAAAATAAACTTCTGGAATACGTTTCTAAAAGCTTTTGATGACTCTAAAAGAAGCATGCAGAGGAAGCTTCGTAAGAAGATTATTATAGAAGTTTCTATATGAAAAAGTATGTGAACTTTGCAGCCTCCCGTAATATGGTAGTCCAAATTACCTTTTCTCCCGCACGGATTTCAACAAATCCACCTGGAGATCACCTGACCAACACACAGAAAACCAAATCGATCACGTTCTAATCGAAATTCTTCTCCGACATTATCAACGTCCGCACGTACCACAGTGCGAACATAGATTCCGACCACTACTTTTTTTTCTGTGTTAGATATATTCATCACTGCGACCATTACTTTGATCTGTTGTGAAATTGCTTTATCAGTTATATCGTATCACTATTTTGTGAAGCAACCGATATAGACTGACCAAAAGCATTTTCCCAGCCAGGTATTACATTTCGAATGAAATGTTCTACTTGACTGGGACCTGCATTCCAAATATCAAAGGGGATCTGTCAGCCCCTAATCCAGAAAAATACGCCATTTATTGAAGATTGCTGCACAAAAGCATAGCAGGTGTTCAGGGACCACTACTTAGTTGCAGTATTCATGCGTTCAAAACTCTCGACGGTACATAACGCCGCAACCCAACATTGAGCAATTGCGGGACGTCGGTGTTGCCCAGTACTACGTGCAACAGCTGCACTACCCACGTAAGAGCAGCTTGGCGCAGCTACTCTTGAAGATGGCTGGCGTGACATCCGTTCCACCATAGGTAGTACTGCTGCAGCGAGGCTGTTGGATTGCTGCAACTACCGCGCGATCACACTACTGAGCGCCACATACACGAGTACAGATTTTCGGATAAACTGATGTGATTGGTCAAGGCGACGATGGATCGAGTGATGTGCGTTGTTCGAGTATCGGGGACACTCTGGGACTCGAAGGGGGTGGACTTTCGTGTCTGCTAATCAACATCGCGTTAGAAGGTGTGATCAGAAGAGCTGAGATGGACACGAGTGGCACTTCTTGACATCGACATCATGGCACGGAACTTTGATACGATGGCGGAAACGAACATCAGACTGAAGGGTGAAACTAGGCGGATTGGACTTGCCATCAACGCATCGTAGACAAAATACATGAGAGGAAGAGGTTCTAGGGAAGACAATGCTAGCTTCCCACCCCGAGTTCAGATTGACGGTGACGAAATCGAGGTGATCGCCGAAAATGATACCAGCAGATAAATTCAAGGACGCAGGGAATCGTGCCTTCTTTGGACTCTGGAGGACGCTCGGATCGAATAAAATTCGCCGCCGCACGAAGAGGACTATCAACAAGATGCTGATTAGACCGGTGGTCCTCTACGGCCACGAGACCTGGACTATGCCAGACTACGAGGCTGGCGAAGTGTGGTCATAGATCGAGTAGAGTGGAGACGACTTCTTCGGACAACAGAGGACAACAAGGCCTTAGCCTGATTGGGTCGTGGGTGGTGTCATAAATATGGACCCAGATGGCCATGGGGTCACCCTCCTGAAGATCTGGATCAGCTCTGCAGTTTTTTGAAAAACATTAGAAACTGTAATGATAGAATGAGTTTTGGGTCGTGCGATAAACGTGGTTCCGGATGGCCATGGGTCCGTCCTCCGGAAGATGCGAAACATCCGTTAAGTGGTCTATCCATGAAACTGGTCCTAGAGCTCCGCGTTTTTTCGAAAACACTTGGATCTGTGATATAAGAAAGAATTTGGGGTCGTGACATAAACATGGACCCGGATGGCCATGAGACCAGCATTCTAAATATTCGGATCATCCGTAAAAGTGGTTCATCCATGAAACTGATCCTATAGCACCATGGAACATGGAACTGTGGTATAAGAAATAATTTGGGATTGTGACATAAGCATGGACCCGGATAGCCATGAGACCAGCATCCTGAGTAAAGTGGTTCATCCATGAAACTGATCCTAGAGTCCACGGTTATTTTCTAAAACACTTGAACTATTAAATAAGATAGAATTTAGGGTCCTGACATAAAAATGACCCGGATGGCCAAAGGACCATTCTACGAAATATCCGGAACATCCGCGAATGATCAATCCATGATACTTATCCTTGAGTTCCGCGGTTTTTTAAACACTTGGATCTGCGATATAAAAAACTACAAGGGACAGTCCTATGGGGTTGTACGCAATGGCGACGTACGACTGCGTGGTCTTATATAATAAATCTTATTTGTTAATTGCAGCAGGAGCTTGTGTTTTGTGTAGGAATAGGAATTTGAGCGGGGTTCTCTCTGTTTATACTTTTTAGTATGACGCGCTTGACATAGATGACCCACAGAAACGCACGAAGAGCTACTGGTTCCGATCAATAGCGGTGCGGCTTCTTCCTCCTTCTATGGATGCTTATGTGGGCTGCAGCTCGCTGCTTGCAGGCAGCTTTTCGTTGTGTACTGGAGAACAATGTTCAACGCCACGTGCCGAAAGCACTGCTGCTGCTGCTGATGCCGACGGTCGGACATCACTACACACGATAATTGGAACTGAATTCGATCAGCGATTAAGGTCAGCCTTGACCGCTAGCTGCTTGCGGGGAGTCTTTCGTTGTGTACCGGAGAACACCACCACTCACCACGCGGTGATTGAATAAACACCGTTTGGTAAGACCGGATGCAATTCAACTTTGAAATCTGTGTTAGGGAAACCGCTTTTCGCAGGAAATTGGTGATAATTTTAATTATCATAGCAACAGTTGCACATTCGTGCAATTTTCAATAGTAACATTTTTAAAAATGATAAAGTCTTAAGTTTATCAGATGCGTAGGAATATTTCTGATCGATTGGTGATAAAATTATTGAAATTGGTCCATAGGTAACTGAGTTATTAACGTTCAAAAATCATTCATAATTTTGTTACATGTTCCATTTTCGGTTTTCACAAAGTGTACCCCCATATAGAAATCACAGACGTAGTCCTACGTCAAAAGAATGTTGGGTCGTGACGTTAACATGGACCCGGATGGCCATGAGACCGCCTTCTGAAAGTGAGGTTATTAAACTTCTCAACGATTGGTTCGATTTATTCAACTCCTCGTCTACTGTAAGATATGGAGAGCGGATGCAAGCGTTTGATCATTCCAACAAAAACCATATGATGGTACGTCCAAAGCTGTCCGAAGCATGACAGTATGCATGACACCAAATAATAAAAAAAAACATGCCTTCATTCCAAAAAGGAATACCGATTAATAACGCGTCAATGAGCGGCGCCGGTGGTGTAGTGGTAAGCGTGATTATATCTCACCCCAGCAGACCTGGGTTTAATCCCAGTCGGCGCCGCCGGGATGTTCTGAGGCATAACATCTCTGGTCCACGCCTTGCAGCACAAGCTTGTGTTTTGTGTAGGAATAAAAAAATTATACTCTTTAGTATGGACGCGCTTGACATAGATGGCCCACTGCAACTCACGAAGAGCTACTGATTCCGATCAATAGCGGTGCGGCTTCTTCCTCCTTCTATGGATGCTCATGTGGGCTGCAGCTCGCTGTTTGCAGGCAACCTTTCGTTGTGCACTGGAGAACACCACCCCTCACCACGCGGTGAGTGAATAGACACCGTTTGGTGAGACCGGATGGAATTCAACTTTGAAATCTGTGTTAGGGAGATCGCTTTTCGCAAGCAATAGGTGATAATTTTAACTATCATAGCAACAGTTACACCAACAATCAATACGAAATTATCGAGGTTTCGAGGGGTGAATCGATTAGCTTGGGACCGAAGATAGTACCAGAGCTGAGCCAAAAAGTTGAGCTCGTTTCTTCGGGACCTTCTGGTCTTAGAGTTACGTCTATGGTTACACATTCCAGCAATTTTCAATAGTGACATTTTGAACAGATTCGTAGAATCAAATTCCTATCGATTGGCGTATTAAGAATTAAAATCCATCATCTCTGGATCAAAACCAGACCACTTACATGCCGCGACCGACTTTGGTTTTTGAAATCACACCCCCAATAGTATGTTAGATTTAAACGTATCTTGATAGAGCTGGAATTAGGCGTAATAGCTTTTGTAAACAATGATTTCTCTCGATGACTTTTAGGCAAGCCATGGCCACACAAACCAACATTACCGTCGGGTAGGGGAAGTCTTACCTTACCTGATGGTGATGTTGCTTTGCGTACACACTTCGAAAAATTGATGTAAATTTAGGTGTTCTGAGACTGACGTATACGAGCGTCAATTTAGACAGAAAATTGAGTCATAATAAACCCGAAATTCAGCTCAATCAAACGTACTTTCGAATTTTTCAGTCTCGGAGCACTTAATTTTACATGACATGTTTGTTTACGTCTCATTCTTTATGCCAAAGATGGATTCCGTCAAGTGTAAGATTAGGTATTTTTAAG